TGCCAATCAGGAGTGCTCTCCCAAGGGAAGCAAGGCATTCTCAACAAACAGAAGGTGACAGCCGCCCTGCCCTTTCTCTCCCAGAACGTGGGCCTGACCCTGCGGAAGCTGATCGGGAGCGTGGACAGTATCCTGCCTTCCTTGCCGGCGTCGTCACGGACGGAGGTGAGTGTCCTTGTCTCGGATAGTGCCTCGGGCTCCCCTTCGCCTCCCCCTGCCCCAGCTGTGGTTCACACCGGGGGGCGCACAAGGCCACCTGGGCAGCCTCACTTCTGCCTGCCAAGCCTGCAGCCGGGGCCCTGCACAGCGTGTCTGAGCCTGTTCCACGGGGGCGCTGAGTGGGCACCCGGGGCCCTGGCGGCTTCCTGGGGCCGGTTTCCCAGTTTAGGTCTCAGGTAGCTGCAGTGACATCTTAAAGTGTGAGGACACGAAGGAGGACACACCTTCCCTTTTGCCCCTCCTGCGGTCCTTGATCTAGTCCCCTCCCTACTAGAGTGAAGGTGAGCGTGCTATGGAAATAGCAGTGAAGGGTGCTTTTGTTGGCCATTGAATCTAATTTTCTCTATTTAAGTGAGAAACAATCACGGAAAACTGACATAGGAGGCTTGGTGCTCTGCATGGAGATGGGGCCTGTGTGGGCAGAATAATGGCTCCTCAAATCGCCCCCTGTCCTAGTCCCCAGAACCCGGGACCCCGTTACCTTCCATGGCAAAGGGGACTTTGCAGATGGGATAAGTTAAGGACCTTGAGGTGGGGAGATTGCACTGATTACAACGTAGTCACAGGGTCCATTTATGAGGGAGGCGGGCGCAGAGTTCTTGTGAGAGTCAGGGAAGGAGGGGTGACGACAGAAGCAGAGGTGGAAGTGATTTCAAATTTGGCTGGAAGGAGGCACAGGCCAAGGGGGACAGGCAGGGGCAGAGTCTCTCCGGAGCCTGCAGGAGCACGGCCCGAGGCCCGGGAACCTCGGCTTTAGCCCTGTAGGACCTGGTCCAGACTCCCACCCTCCGGAACGGTGGGACGATAGTCTAGTCCAGTGGTTCTCAACCTTCCTAATGCCGCGACCCTTTAATACAGTTCCTCATGTTGTGGTGGCCCCCAACCATAAAATTATTTTCGTTGCTACTTCATAACTGTAATTTTGCTACTGTTATGAATCATAATGTAAATATCTGATATGCAGGATGTATTTTCGTTGTTACAAATTGAACATAATTAAAGCATAGTGACTAATCACAAAAACAATATGTAATTATATATGTGTTTTCCGATGGTCTTAGGCGACCCCTGTGAAAGGGTCGTTCCACCCCCAAAGGGGTCGCGACCCACAGGTTGAGAACCCCTGGTCTAGTCTGTGTTGCTTTAAGCCACCAGGGTTGCGGTACTCCATCACCGCAGCCATAGGAAGCGCAGTCAGTGCTCTGACATTTGTCTGCCTGGAAACCAGATGTAGACCCTGAGGAAGCCCACGCCCCTGCCGGGCTGCGGTTTGATGTGGCCTCTCCCTGTGGTCAGTGACGTGGCACAGGTGACCACCGGAGCCCCCAGTCTGTGCTGCTCAAGACAGCAATGTGGGGGCGGGGGGTTCGCAGCCTCCCTCTGGGTGGCAGCAGCAGCCCACAGAGGAGCGGGCCGGGCTGTGCGGTCTGACAGGAGAGCGCCTTGCCCTGGGCACGATGACCCAGTCACTCATCTCACCCGATAAACACTTGAGTGCCGAGCTTGTGCTCAGAACTGTGCTAAGCACCGGGCACATGTCCGTAAACAAACCCTACAGCTCCATCCACAGGCCCAGAGCTCTGGATTTGATGACAGGCAGCTCACAAATGGATAAATGGACTTGACCTCAATCATCGGCTCGAACGTTGGGCCAGCACAAGAGGATGCTGTGATAAGAGGAGGGCCTGTGGGGTTGGATCAGACGGGGCTGGCATGGGGTGGGCTGGGGTCTAGGGTGTCTACAATGTCAGTCCTTGGTGATTGGGCTCCGGCCCGTACAGGGCCTTGCTCGGCCCCAGCCTGGGTCTGACTTGTTTGAGCAGCCTCCACCGTCCTGGTCCCAGTTCTGCCCCTGGCGCTCACCTTCACCACCATCACGTAGGCCTCGGGGGGCAGCTGGCAACACCCAGGTGCACACGTGCGTGGCTTAGGCTCCCAGCCTCTCCTGTGCACTCCTCCCACAGATTGAAGGGACCCAGAAACTGCTCAACAAGGACCTGGCGGAGCTCATCAATAAGATGCGACTGGCCCAGCAAAACGCCGTGACCTCCCTGAGCGAGGAGTGCAAGCGGCAGATGCTCACGGCCTCCCACACCCTGGCCGTGGACGCCAAGAACCTGCTCGATGCCGTGGACCAGGCCAAGATTCTGGCCAACCTGGCTCACCCGCCCGCAGAGTGACGGAGGGGGGGCCCCCCGCGTCTTCGCCCCGCCTGTCGTGTACCTCCCTTGCCCCCGGCCCTGCCCTGCCTTCGGCCACGTGGGTCTTCTCAGGGGGAAGGCCGAGAGGAGTCCTTCCCTTGCCACTTTGCACGACCCCCTCTCCCCACCCGACACCCAGACTGTGCTGCTCAGGCTGCAGCTGGACAGAGGGGACTCAGGGCTGTAGAAGCCAGGGGGTGACTACGAGGGCTCAGAGGGAGCACAGCTGCCACTGGCCACTCCCTTCTCCTACCTGCCCGGCCTGCTGGGGGTCCCACTGATGCCCCTAGTGGCCATGATGGCTTTATGCATGGACATAGCAGGCCATGTGGGAAACCAAGCTATTCCTGCTTCCTCTTCTGCCCACGGAAGTCCCCCCGCCCCAGCAGATGCTCACGGCCTCCCACACCCTGGCCGTGGACGCCAAGAACCTGCTCGATGCCGTGGACCAGGCCAAGATTCTGGCCAACCTGGCTCACCCGCCTGCAGAGTGACGGAGGGTGGGCCACCCGCCTGCGTCTTCGCCCCGCCTGTCGTGTACCTCCCTTGCCCCCGGCCCTGCCCTGCCTTCGGCCACGTGGGTCTTCTCAGGGGGAAGGCCGAGAGGAGTCCTTCCCTTGCCACTTTGCACGACCCCCTCTCCCCACCCGACACCCAGACTGTGCTGCTCAGGCTGCAGCTGGACAGAGGGGACTCAGGGCTGTAGAAGCCAGGGGGTGACTACGAGGGCTCAGAGGGAGCACAGCTGCCACTGGCCACTCCCTTCTCCTACCTGCCGGGCCTGCTGGGGGTCCCACTGATGCCCCTAGTGGCCATGATGGCTTTATGCATGGACATAGCAGGCCATGTGGGAAACCAAGCTATTCCTGCTTCCTCTTCTGCCCACGGAAGTCCCCCCCGATGCAGAGGGGCCCGAGAGGGGCTTTCTTTTGCGGAGTGGATGGTCGGTGAGATGAGGGATGGACCTGGCTTTCTTGTACAGTGTATATTGGAATTTATTTAATGTGAGTCTGGTCTGGACGGACAGCCATGCACCCCCGGAGGGGGGGCCTGGGACACAGTCCAGCAACAAGCTAGTGGGAGGCTGGGCACAGGACGCTGTGTGGCCAACATGCCAAGTGTCGAGGAGAAGGGGAGTGGAGGCCAAACAGGACTTGGACCACAATCCACTCTCTTCCTCACGCCCACTTTTCTCTTTCTTTCCTTATTTTGCCTCCTCCTCCTTCCTTCCTCTTTTCTTATTCCTCCCTCTCTTTCCTCTTCCTCACCAGCTTCCTCCCTCCTCCTCCCTCGTGTTTGTGCAGAACACCCTTTACGTTCTTTCTATTTGACTTGTGGATGAATTAAATTGTACTATTTGCTTTGTGGTTTGATTGCTTTGTTGGTTTGACCTGCTCTCAGTGGGGAAACACAGACCTCAAACCACAGCCCTCCCTCGAAGACAGGGATTGTGCTCAGTTGGGCAGAGATCAGGGGCTGATGCCTGGGCTCATCAGAGGGGCGCCCGGTGACACCCAGGCAGGGGGGTCAGACATGAGCCCCAGCCCCTGTGCCCCTGCACCTGACCAAAGGGACATTTCCCAGGGGGGACCCAGGGCAGCTCCCACACAGGCACATGAGGAATGGCACTCTCGCAGCGGGCATCCCCACAACCAGGGCTCTGGGGGAGGTTCTGGGGGTCCTGGGGATGCTGACACGGGGTCCCACAGCTCGATGAACAGCGGCTTCCATTTTATTTGATCGCTTTATTCACATGCAAGATGGATGGGAGACGGACTAACGTAAGGGAACATCACGGCACCAGGAGAGCCAGGCTGGGAGAGCCAGGAGGGAGGGGAGGCGGGGCTGTGTGCATTGAAGTGGGGGAGGGGAGGGTGAGGGGGGGTGTCAGAAATGAGAATGGGCCACCGAGTGGGGGTCTTGGGAGAGAACTGAGGGGCAGAGGCTGGGCCCGAGGTGTCTTGGGTTTCCACGTGGTCTGTCAGGGGGAGGCGAGGGGGGACTTCGGAAGGAGAGGACCCCAAAGGCCGAAGGCAGGGGTGGGGGTGGGGCCAGGCAAAGAGGAACAGAACACGTGTGCCCCCCATGTGCCTCCCCTCTTCCCAATGATGCCTCCTAACACTCAGTTCCTGACACTCGGCCCTCCTGACACTCAGTGTCTGCTCAGCTCTCTGCCTGGGGTCCCCACACCGACCCAAGAACCCAGTGCCCACATCTTTTGGCTGCTGGGGAAGTGGGTCTGGATGGGGCAGTGGTGGGGCCTGACCACCGCAGCTAGGGCCATGGACTGCTGGATTCCAAGGTTCGAGAACAGACTGCACAGGGCAGTTCAGAGCTGGTCAGACACACCGTGGGGCTTTGGGAAGGATGGGGAGGGCATGCTGGGCAGGGAAGGGGTCCTGGTCCTGCGTGTTTGCATTTACACAGCAGTCTCGGGTTCGAAGTAACCCACTCACTCTCCTCAGCCCCTTCTCAGTGCCGACCAATCACCGCTTGCCCTGTGGAGGGAGGGAGGGAGCAAGCTGTAGGCTTGATGTGGCTGGAATGGCTCGGTTTGTCCACTTACACAGCAGTCTCGGGTTCGAAGTAACCCACTCACTCCCCTCAGCCCCTCCAGAGTGCCGACCAACCACCGCTTGCCCTGTGGAGGGAGGGAGGGAGGGAGCAAGCTGTAGGCTTGATGTGCTCGAGTGGCTCGGGATGGCCTTGTGGTTTGTCCACACGAGTTGAAAGGCAGATGGTGCCCCTGTAGACAGGGACTCTCAACCTGCTGGGGCAGCTGGTGCTGAGCCGGTTTCCGGGGGATGGGGTGGAGGAGAAGGCTAAAGGCGAGGGCATGTCTCAGGGCTCACCGGAGCTGGGTGGGCTGGCCCAGTACCGGCATCCAACCATGCACCCTCCTCCCTTTGCCGAGGGTCGCCCTGCATTTCCACTCCCCTGCCCTGCCTCCTCTCCTCCCCTTCCGGAAAGCCTTCGCCTCTACTGTCAGGTCTGCGGTCTCAGACTCTGAACCCCTTTCTCTATCTGGTTCAGACGCCCCAACCCACCTTCCCAACCGCCAGCCACTCTCCCCACACTGGAACCAACCCCAGCCCGGCTGCCCCGACACTTCAGGCTCATTCCAGAATCCAAAACGCTGCTCACAGCCCGTGTGCCCCCCGGGGCGCCTTCTCCCTCTCTTCCCAATGACGCCTCCTTTGAGGTCTGTGTTCTGTTCCTCTTCGCCTGGCCCCACCCCCACCCCTGCCATCGGCTCCCCCTGCTCGGCCCTCCTGTCACTCAGTGTCTGTAGAGCTCCTTCGGGGACTCTCCTGCGCTTCACATGGTCAGCACCTCGGCATCACCTTCTGCAGAGCAGCTGCCTCCATTCCTGCTCCTCCACATCCCAACGGGGCTCTGGGCCCAGGAGCTTCTCCGCACAGAGTGTACCTGCCGGGTGAGTGGGGCCAGGAAGTCTTCGATGGCGGGGCCAGCGTCCGGACGCCACGGAGAGGCACCGGCAGTCACGGGGTGTGGACCCCAAAGGTGGACTCTAGAGGCAGCAGCAAACACGGCAGCAGGGCCACCTTCGGGCGGAAGCCAGGGGTGTGAAGTCAGATCATTCCAGCCAGGAGCGGGGGGAGAAAGAGTCCCACGGTCCCCAGGATGCAGACGATGATGAACAGCCAGAGGAAGATCCTGTCAATGACCATGGCCACGTACTTCCAGTCTTCCTTCACCTGCAGGGGGGGTGCACTCAGTGACAGGCCCCAGCCTTGGAAAGGGGTGGGTCTCTCTCAGGCCCAGCCCCTGTAAAAAAACAGCACCGGGGCCAGGGGGCCCTCACTGAGACCTTGAGAAGCTAAAATGGGGGCAAGTGTGGAGTAGGGTTGTCTCAAGACTCAAGCAATATTTCCCTAAGTGATTCCCGCCCTGTCCTGCCCTTGACATAGCCCAGAGCTCTCCCGAGGCTCCCAAGGCCCAGGTGAGAGGCTGGAGGGGACAAGCAGGTTCTGGGCCCACCCAGGGGCCGACAGTGGTTTAAACACAACACCTGGTACAAATGGGGAAGACTCGCTGCCCCAATTTGCTCCTGCGGCCCCCACTCACCCACCCACCCAGGAGGTGGAGAGGGGGAGGGGAGGGGAGGTGCCGCCCAGGGAAGGTTGGGGGAGTAGGGGGTGGAGGAGTGGGGGGCTTTGTGGAATTTGGGCTCACAGCGCAGGTGAGTGGGTCTGAACTCCTAGCTGCTCCCAGATTAGATCATGATGAATGTTTCTTATCGACTCCACAAGGCCACCCAATGATAGCCTCCCGGCCTTTCACCCTTCCCTGGGTTGTTAAGAAGAGTTGTGTGATCCTGGGCAGTGGCCGGCTCACCGATAATGCCGGACATGGCAGAGGCCAGGGGGGCGGGGAGCCCACCTGGTGAACAGTGAAGCTCACAAAATGCCCAGGAGGAGGGAGACATCGGGACAAAGGAGGAAGGCAGCAGCCTGACGTATGGTCTCTCTGGATGGTACTCCCTCTGCTCTCCCTCCCCCACCCCCACGGGGTAATGGTGAGAAATGGCGCAGTGGCCTGAGAAGCTCTGCACCTGCAATCCCTCCCTCCATCTCGCTGTCTCCCAGTCAGGCTTCGTCTGCCACCTGCCAATTCATGTCTTAAGAGCTGCCAACTAGACATTCTCCATCACTATTTCTACTCCCGAGGCCATGACTGCGGGAGGTGGGTCCTCTCATGAAGGAGACTGGTTTGCCCACCCAACACCCTGGGGTAAGGTGATGCCCTTCTGGGCTGATAGCGTCACCCAGGGGAGGGGCCCAGCCCCAACTCACCGAAGAGTCAGCGTCCTCAGACCGCAGGTGCTCAGCAATATAGTGCACGCCTTCCAGTGCCTTCTGCATGCGAAGTGACAGCAGGAACCCGCCCTTCTGCAAGGGGGCCTTCGCCTTGGGACCGGAGAGCCTTTGGTGCAGACCACCATGGCTGTAGAGGACACCCGTGGAGGGGGATGGCACCCATCTGTCCTCCTCCTCCTCCTCCTCCTCCTCTTCCTCCTCCTCCCTCTCCTGAGCATCCATGTTGGTCTCCAGCCAGTAATAGGGGGGGTCGAGCTTCAGATCTGGGGAGCCATGGAGCTCCAAGGGTGGCAGAGGCCGTTTCATCAGTAGCCACCGGGACACACGGCTGAGAAAGGCCCCCCGCACCCAGCGGGGCATATTGTGGGTGCGGGGGGAGCGGTGGTGGACATTGAGGACGAAGACCGTGATGACGATGGACAGGGTGACGAAGATCATGGTGAAGAGCAGGTATTCGCCGATGAGCGGGATGACCAGGGAGGTGGAGGGGATGATCTCGGTGATGAGCAGGAGGAAGACCGTGAGCGAGAGCAGCACGGAAATGCACAGGGTGATCTTTTCCCCGCAGTCGGAGGGCAGGTAGAAGACCAGCACGGTCAGGAAGGAGATGAGCAGGCAGGGGATGATGAGGTTGATGGTGTAGAAGAGGGGCAGGCGCCGGATGACAAAGTAGTAGGTGACGTCGGGGTAGATCTCGGCGCAGCAGTCGTACTTCTTGGTGTTGTAGGTGCCCGTGGCGTTGACGATGGCCCACTCGCCACTCTCCCAGTAGTCCTTCAGGTCCACCGTCTGCTCCATCGGCTGCAGGTCGATCTTGGCCTTGTCATACGACCAGGAGCCGAACTTCATCTTGCAGTTCTGCTGGTCGAAGGGGAAGAAGGTGACGTCGATGCTGCAGGAGCTCTTGTAGATGGCCGGGGGCACCCAGTGCACGGTGCCCGTGGAGAAGAGGTGGGCCTTGGTCATGTGGTTCACCACAAACTCCCCATCGGCACTGAGGAGAAGAGAGGAGTTGGAGGGCCTGGCATACCCCACCTGCCCAAACCAGGCTCCAGCAGGGGGACCCTGACCACAAAGCCAGACTTGACCAAGTTATTGGGTTTTAAGCCAGTGTGTGAGACTCCCCAAGCACATGGCCATTTATAGCTACTGCTATAAATGTCTTTTTAAGCACCATTTTTTTTACATTACAAAGCAGAAATATTGAAGAATATAAAATTCCAAGAATGTCAAAAACAGCCACTATTCACATTCTGATGTTATATCCTATATAATAAAGAGCTAGTTTGCTAATTAGACTGAACAGCAGAATGACTGTCCAGATGAAGCCGGGGCTGTGAGGGGCTGCGAGGGCCTACTCTTGCATGAATTTTGTGCATCGGGCCTCTAATATATATATATATTTGATTGCCCTATAGATCATATATATATTATGTGTTTATGGGGTAGTGTAGCTTGATTTTTCTGTTTGTATTTATTTACTAGTTTAAAGTGATTACTTATGAGTGCATTTTCTCCCCCCAGCAAATGGTAAGGCCCTCCACTGGGGGTCACGTCTTGTCCACCTGGGGTCCTTAGTACCTTGCTGAGAAGAGACCCAACATCTTTGCTAGTAAAGGAAGGTAATGCCTTGATGCCATCCATTTACTGTGCATTTCTGAGCCAGCCTCATCCACTAGAGGGACACAGTGTGAGACTTAGCCTGCCCTGAAGGAAGCAGGAGGAAATAAGACACAGCCCCAAACACCCACCACCCAAGGGAAGCAATCTGACAGCAGCGCTCTGAGGGCTGTCTGAGCTCTCCTTAAGAACTGTGGGGGGGACTCGCTTCTGGCTGGAGCTAGCACTTCTGGCTGGAGCAAGCACTTCTGGCTGGAGTGAGCAGGGTCACCATGAAAACCATCTGGGATGCTAAGGACTTTGCTTCTGACTTGTGCCAGGAGCACAGGAAGCTGAAAGTAGGTGGATCTTGGCTTCAGGGCACAGAGATATGGGGTGAGGTGCCCGTGATGTGGGGAGATGAGGTGGAGAAGGTCCCAGCAGAGCATCCTCCAGAACAAAGAACAGGAGGGGAAGCACAAAATTCACAGGGTGTGCCTGGATTAGAGGGGCAGGGCCTGCTGCGTCATGGAGCTAGGCATCTAAGGGCCACAGGGGTTCTGGGCACACTGGAATTGGGTGCCTGAACCCCTGATTCCCTCTAGGAGGTGATGCAGTGTTCTTCTCCCTAGTCCTCCATAATAAAAGCATAGTATGCAAATTATTCCCTCCACCGGGAGTTCGACCAGGGGGCAGGTAGAAGGGAGAGCGTACCTTGCTGGCAGCCAGCAGCCACTAGGTACCCTACCAATGCATGAATTTTGTGCACTGGGCCTTTAGTCTTTAATAATTCTCAAGGTCAATCCTAAAGGCAGGAGAACCAGAACATGCAGGAAGAGACTTCTTTCCCATGGAGTCATTCCAAGCTAGAGATTAGAAAACGGGAACCTTTTAAAGAAAATGCTGGCCCAGCCAGTGGCGTGGCTCAGTGGTTGAATGTTGCCTATGAACCAAGAGGTCACAGTCCGATTCCCTGTCAGGGCACATACCGGGATTGCAGGCTTGAGCCAATAGTGTGGGGCATGCAGAAGACAGCTGATCAATTATTCTCTCTCATCATTGATATTTCTATCTCTCTTTCCCTTCCTGTCTGAAATCAATAAAAAAAATATTTTTAAAGAAAACGCTGGAAACGTTGAAAGAGAATCCCAGATCGGGCAAAAGTTAAAAAAAAATTTTTTAAAGGCATTGTGTCATCACACATAACCACCACTAGATGGCCACATGCGCCCAGTTTTGAGGAAGGAGAGCGATGTCTTTTGGATCTTCCTGTAAACCTGGAATGGGGTGATAGGGTGGAGGAGATCCTTCTTCAAATGTAAGAATTTGGTTTGCAGTTTTGTCCTGTCGTAAGAATTACCTGTTACATTCAAATAACACTGGTCAAAGCCGGACTGGCCATCCTAAAACTCCAGGGCATCTGGGATGCTAAGGACTTTGCTTCTGACTTGTGCCAGGAGCACAGGAAGCTGAAAGTAGGTGGATCTTGGCTTCAGGGCACAGAGATATGGGGTGAGGTGCCCGTGATTCCGGTGGCAGCAGCAGGCCCTGGGCACCTGCGGTGTTGACCTCCCAGTAACCCATGCTGACAGTTTACAGAAATGGCTCCACTGAGAGGGAACCCTTGTGGTTCCCCCTCTGACCCAGCCGGAGGCACCCAAACTCCAAAAGTCTATCTCTTCCCTTTGTCTTGTTGTTTTAAAAAACGGCTTTTCCAAATTTGGGTCAAATGAATCGGGAAATGCTGGGCTGAATTGGTTTCCTGGCTGCACAGCTTCTAACACTGAAATGCTATTGTGTAGTGACATTTCCCAGAGGACCAGGAGGGTCAATGGCTGCAGTGTTATCCAGAATTATTTGACCACAGGACCATTTTTCATGTCTACTCATATCCCCAGGATTTCCTTAGAGCCCCACTTTAGACAACATTTCAGATGAACATAATGCCAAATACCTTTTAACTTTAAACGCTAGACTTCTAAATGAAGAACTACCTGCGGGCAAACACCATTTCTCCTTCCCCTCCTCTGTTGCCTGGCTCTCTAGAGACCATCCTGCCTTTTATTGGCTTCTAGTCATTATGCTCAGAGACTGGTCCTTTTTGGTCTTGAATACAAGGCAACTATATAAGTGATACGATTTTTTAAAATACCCATGCCAAGTGAGCTGCTGCCTTTGAGGGTGGGTACCCCAGCCGCTGCCTACCTGTTCTGGCAACACTGCCATCCTGCAAAATTCCAGCCTTAGGCATTGTTTTCACAGCCCGCACCAGCCACGCTTTTCAAATAATAGTATTGGAAAATCTGTATCCCACCCGCACAGCACCAAGCACTGATACATAACAGGTGCTCAATAAATTCGGGTGTATGGGGAAGAGAACAAAATGAAAGAAATAAAGGCATCGAGAGAAAAGGTGGGAGTAGGAGGTAGTAATAGCAGAACAGGACTTCAGAGAAAGACATAGAGGTGAGACACAAGGGGGCGCGCTGCCCAAGTCCAACCCAGAAACTCCTCCCGGGGG